TAGCTAAAGTTTATGTTTCTTATCATATATATACAAAGCTTGAGAACCAGGATCCCATGTCATTTTCTGCTGCAATTCCATTTTTGCAAATTTCACCATTTTCGCAGATTTACCCGATAAGTTTGATTCCCTTAATGAAAGGGATCCTTTTTGATGAGAATAGCAAAGGACAGTTCTTAAATGGGGATCTAAATATTGGACAGCTGAACTACAGTGCCTTGTGGCCTCAACAAAGCCATCCCTCGGTTCTTATCAAAGGGATCCCTCTTAAGAAGGGGACTCATATATAACAAACTCATGATGGGATATTAGGACATGTGCAAAGTTTCAGATTTTGAGCGGATTTTCGCCAAACCTATATAAATTCTTCCGGTGAACAATCACAAATTAATTATAATAAATATAAAAAACCAACACCTTAAAGTGAATGCTTTTTTAAATTTCAGATTATTGCAGAACTAAAATATATTTGGTTCCATGGTAAATGCAGCATCCCTATATTCTAATACAACAATTATTGGTCATCATCAGATTCATGGTAAACGTATCCCAGAACTAAAAGATATAAAAATATACACCCTGACATTCTTTATATTAATATAACTTCAAATTAAAGTCTTGGCCATCGTTTGGAATTAGCATTGACTTCCAAGGTTCTCACAGAAGATTATATTTCTGGTTGAGAACATTTCCTTACGTCCTGAACCTGATGCTATCACAATACCAAGATACAAATTCTTTGAAGAATCATTGATAAACAACAAAGTACAGTGCATACCTCTGCCAGTTGGATCTTTCCTGTTTCCACAAGATCCTTAGCTTCTGAACACACAGGAACTGAGTGTTTCACTACAGGTTGCAGATTTAAGATATCTGATATTTGGAAAGGTGCTGCAGAATTAAGATCATATCTGCGAGCTGCAATTGTAATGCCCACCTGCGAATGAAACCAAAGTCAATTTGTCCGCCACTTAGAAGCGTAAGTGATTGTTAAGCAAATTTGAGTTGCAACCAAGTAAATTGGACCAGAAGAAATTATAGTTACCTTCTGACAAAGATTACGTATAACAGAATCTTTCTTTACATGAGTCCTAGCATCCTCTGGCAGCTCAAACTATCATCAATGGCAAATTACATAAAACGATAGGTTAATAAACACCAATCAAAGATACCCTTTTGAGGACCAAGTACTAAACTTGGAGATCCCACAAAACATATACAAGTCCATTTTAATTTATACAGCCCAGAAAAAGGAAAAATGTTATGAAACAATATGGAAAATGGCCCATAGCCACAAATGATACATCATTGGAAATAAAATCAATGAGATCCCCACGGGGTGTACATATTTCTCAACAAAGAATTGTGACCCCTTAAAGTTATTCAGGGAGCATAATTTCATAGCGTCAAAAAGTTATTTGGGGATGTCAAATTCTTCCTGGAGAGTCAGATATTATTGATAATTGATACCTGATATTTGAGCTTTGCAAATTCTTGAATGTCAGACCATAGAGTTTCTGAGCTAACATGCATAAATGAGGATTGATTTTTTCTTGTAGATGCTCCATCCTTCCATCTTCCTTGTCCCTTGGACAGCTTTCCTGAAGATTGATGGCCTGTTTGTTCCTGAAGATAGAGGAACTTAAAGTTACAAAAGGTTCCTCAAACTCAAAAAATAGACCAGTTTTGCTGAGATATGCTTGGTATTAAAAACATTTGTGATTCCCAAAAAGTTCAAGTTAATAGTAAACTGCATATAGTTGCAACTTTTTACTGCAAAACAGTACTCAGATGAGCTTTAAAGGGATTACAGGGATCAAGAATTCTCTTAGAACAACTTAGCACTGAACTTTCTTTCTAGTTGATACTATAAACCATACTTTTTTGGGGGTTCTAGACTGCACACTATTAGCAGCCACTTTAGAGCTAACAGCTTGACTGCTTCCAAAAAAACAGTTGAAGAAATGGGAGATTGCAGGCCCAATATCATGATCATCCGTTTCTCTCAAGGCATCCTGCAGACAAGAAAGTAGAAAAGACCATGAACCACTTTCCACCAGAGACAAAAAGATTGAACATTGACAATTGTGTGAGTGTGCTCAGTCAATAATAACTCTCGGATACATGGGCCAAACATCAAGGACCTGATTGGTTTTTACTATTACTAGAGAACAAGTAGGAAAGGTGGAAGGATGGATCTGAAATAGTAATTAACACTTATGTGATAACCAATCCAAGGCTACATTTTT